TGAAACCAGTTGACCAAAGAAATGGTGATGGAGAAGCCAAGTGCCCAGCTTGTCGGGCGAGAGTTTGTCCGACAGTACTACACCCTGCTCAACCAGGCTCCTGACTACCTGCACAGGTCCGAATTTACTGCTTATATATTCAGATTTCCTTTGTTAGATGCAAGTGAGGTTTGCGGAAAGATCAGAAATCCCTTACTTGTTTAAAATGTGGTAGTACATATTGCAGCTAAACGTTTCCTTTGTCTTTCAGGTTTTACGGCAAGAACTCGTCTTATGTACACGGTGGTCTGGACAATAATGGCAAACCAGCTGAAGCGGTCTATGGGCAGTCTGTGAGTTTTAATACAAGTGTTGTGAATTTTTAATGCGGTTTATGATTCAGTTCAGTAGCTCAATGTAATATTTTTCTTTCTGAACAGGAAATCCATAAGAAGGTGATGGCGCTGAGCTTCCGTGATTGTCACACTAAGATCAGGCATGTCGATGCTCACGCCACCCTGAACGAGGGAGTGGTGGTGCAAGTGTTGGGGGAGCTGTCCAATAACATGCAGCCTATGAGGAAGTTCATGCAGACATTTGTTCTGGCACCTGAGGTATGAACATTTTGTCATAAATGTTATCAGTTTAAAATGTTAACATGACCTCGGGTGAATTAAACTGTTGTCTCTGAACATATGCCAATGCAGGCATAAATCATTTTAAATGTGAGGTTTCATTGAGCAAAGCCTGAATTCAAAGACCTGCAAAGTGGAAAAAGTCAATATGAGTTGATAGGCATTTTGTTTTAATGGAAACAATAGTCATCAAAGAATTTTAAAGTCGCAGTCAACTTAATTATAGTGCTGTATTTCAGAGAGAAATTGAATAGTGAATGAGAAAAAAAAAATCCAGGCACGCCTTCATCGCCTATAGCTCTAGACTTAGTTAAGGATGTCAAACTAAGATGTTTGTCAGATGTTTTCTTTCGTTTAACACCGATGAATTGTTCACCACCAGACCAGTAATTTGTGATAAGAAAGTAAATGGGATCAATTGTGACTTCATGCGGACTTTAAGAAATCTTTGGCTAGATATTGATTCTGAGTGGAGTAAAGGGTTTGTGTGTTATGGAAGCATCAGCTTGTTCTGATCTTCGGTATTTGATTGGTGCAAGACGTAGCTCATAAAATGCAGTAATTTCTGAGGCACATTTGGCATTTATGCCAACAAAAAATATTTCCTTTCAGATAATATTCTGTTATTTATTATTTTTTACGTTGCTGTAATCTTTTAGGGATCAGTTGCAAACAAGTTCTACGTACACAACGATATCTTCCGGTACCAGGATGAGGTGTTTGGGGACTCGGACTCAGAACCTCCTGAGGGTGAGCAGCTGATATTATTGGTGTATTTCAGAGATCTTCAGAGTAATGTCTCCAAATTGCTCTTGCTGTGAGCAGATGACTTCATTTATTTCCTGTTGTTCACAGAGTCTGAGGAGGATGTGGAGGAGCTGGAGC